ATGTATATTGACAGTGTTTCTATGGGTATATACTGTTCCACTGTTCTTCATGTGTAGGTAGACATAAATTTATGATGTATATTGACAGTGCGTCTATGGGTATATACTGTTCCACTGTTCTGTACGTGTAGGTAGAGATACATTTATGATGTATACTGACAGTGCGTCTATGGGTATATACTGTTCCACTGTTCTGTACGTGTAGGTAGAGATACATTTATGATGTATATTGACAGTGCGTCTATGGGTATATACTGTTCCACTGTTCTTCATGTGTAGGTAGAGATACATTTATGGTGTATACTGACAGTGTATCTATGGGTATATACTGTTCCACTGTTCTTCATGTGTAGGTAGAGATACATTTATGGTGTATACTGACAGTGTATCTATGGGTATATACTGTTCCACTGTTCTGTATGTGTAGGTAGAGATACATTTATGATGTGTACTGACTATGGGTGTATATTATTCCAAGTACGTACAAGAACCCCCACTTCAACTTGTACCATCGTATTTGTACATTGTAAAGTAACAGTTATAGTGGTCACTAACAAGTCTAAGCTCTATACACTATATACATCTACACCTGCTTTCTAAATATAATATATATATATATACATACACATAAGTATATATTGTCATACTTCTGTGTTTTGAGCATCAAATATTTGAAGAAATAATTTCCATTTTGTTATTTACTAAATGTAAACGACTAATTAATTTTTTTCTATAAAAAAATATGAATAATACAAAAAAAGGAATAAGTATCTTTTTTCTATCCACAAAGACGAACCATTACCTTTGTCAGGACAAGTAACAATGATGCCAGCCTTATTTCTAAGTTCTTTTAAATCAGTGAATTTGTCAAGGGAAAAAACAATTGTGGGTTTGCAGGAGGTATAGTTGTAGAATGTTGACAGGGCTGGGTTTTTTTTAGTTTTGTATTAAGTCATTAATTGAATTATTGCATCTTTAGTCTTTATTTGGGTATTCTACTTCACTTTAATACTATAGTTGCAATATGAAAATACAAATAAAAACAGATGTAATGTATTTCTATTTCATCTTAAACCATTAAATATCAGATATAATAAACTTGTAACATACAACACTAATTTCTTACCTAATAACAGATGTGTCTGCAAGAAACATATGCATGTTTCGTTCCAAAGAGTGTTCGTTCAATGCAGATCTCAGCCAAGCTCGTCCTCTTCCAATATCAGTCGATATGTTTTTCAACAACATATATCTTTCATACTCATGTTTGTTCAAGTGGTTACGTACAAAGTGCCAAAATGCTGAAAAGAAATATAATAATCTATGTATTAAATAGTAATTAGAGTTGTGTGATTAACTAAGTTAATCGATCATGTATGAGCATTGAATATAACTGATTAATAAATTAGCAAATTCCATTAACACTCTCACTATAGGCTCAGTCAAATCGGCTGAGTTTGTGACCCCCAAATTGACCTTTACAGTTTTCATACTGTAACTTCTAAGATATTTTATGTATCTTCACAAAATTTCAAAAGCTTTTAGTAAACATTAAGTATTTTGTAGACAAAAAATCTGAATTTTCAATGAAGTATTTTCACTAAAACTTTCTTCATGAACATATGGAGTCAAAATGTTGACTGTTCTGAGTGCAAATTGATTTTCATATTGAAATTAAAAATACTTTTCTTGTCCGAAAACTGTCAAATTTCATTTGCACAATCTTTAAAACCTCCTAAATAAATTTCAAATGTTTTTTCAGTAAAACTTTATATATTATCTATTATTTCCTCTACCCTAACTTTATATGAGGTTGTTCAAATTAAACCACCATAAAAAAATACAAAATAAATCTAAATTACCTTTTTATTTTTCATTCTAGAATGACTTTAAATTGCAATACAAACCTACATACATTTATTCTAAAAACCCTTATAACAGTATATATTTGTTTTTACTTAAGTTTTATTGTCCATTGAACTATGTCTAATTAATAATCCCACCATACAAGTTGTAAATCACTTGGTCAATATGTAGCCCACGTTACTTGAATTACATAACACACAGGCTACTAGTGAGCTGCTGACGAGCATACCTTGTGAAAAATTATTATAATTAACAATTTTCTTTATTTTACCTAATCTTACCTTCTCTAACCTAAAGAGTTTCTTACTTTTACATTTTAGTTACTTTTATAATAATAAATAAAAAAATATGTATGAAAAATAGTACTTACCTGGGTCATCATCTTTTTTTTGCTGTCAACAAAACTTAAACTTATTGTAATACTGCACTAAATAATTTTTTATTTAATTAAATAATGCACTTAAGAACATAGAATAATAACACATAAAAAGCAGACAATGTCTTGTAACTATTACAAATTGTATGGCTTTCTAACTAGGTAATAAGAGCCATTACAAATTCAGCTAAGCTTGTCAATGTGTTTCCTGTGGTTTGAACTGGATGCAAAATACACAATTTTCTGTACAGAAAACAACATAACGTAATACATCATTTGATAGATTATAATTTCTATTGGTTATACATAATATATCTGTAACATCCTCTCTTTCATAAATTACCAGTGGTTTTCTCTGATGTTTAATGTGGGCATGGCAAGAGGGGTCTGATTTTCTAGTTTATGGCTCTGTAAACAAATAAGATTGAAGGCTATAAAAATTATGCTTTGCCTGAGTAATAAGAATATAATAATGAGTAATTTACATTAAATTCCGTACTTCTCAGGAGGGTAGTAAATAAATTAGAGAAGATGGAAGATCTAGAGAGCAAATGTCAAAATGTTTGTTAGGTAAATAAGATTACAAGCAATCTAATATTAATTTATAAGCTGAAGTTAAAAACTTACTTGGTTCAGAATCAGGGTGTTTCATGTTCAGTCCTTTAACCATATCTGTCATATGCCTATTCATTTTCAAAAAGTGAACATTGTTAATACAATGTATGAGAGCCAATAAAGAAATAAAAGCATTTTTCTATGTAGAAACTATATCATAAAGATCTGTCAGCAATACACTATACAAAGTCATTTATACTTAAATAACACCCTTTCCTTAAAGTTCTTCCTATCTATATAGAAGGTACAGAGAAAGTATAAAATGATATCTTAAAAGTAACAGTCCAATGGAAAATAAGTTTAAGCACAGACACTAACAATCAACCACCATTTTATGTGGGTCAGCAGAGATACTAATAGCCAACTTAGACTTTCATATGGCTGTATGCTTTTAAAAAAAACAATATACGTAAACTGGAAAGTTGTTGAAAGACACTAGTAAATTAAATTTGACTTTAAAAGGAGGATAAGCTAATGCTAAACATTAACTATCCACGTTATCATTACAAGCAAGCAGTTATCTAAGTGGCAAACAATGCAGATTTAGTTTTCATTTAATAGGTTACGTGTCAGTCACAGCAAATTGTAGTTATTACAAACACATTAATAACGATTTTATTAAGACTTTTTTAACAACATCTCCACAAAATTTACAAATATTATTTTAAATATTACTAGCACATCAATAATTTTGATTTTGTTAAGTCTATCACAACACCATAAGTATTACTTAAAGCAAAATGATTATCACTGCTCCCTCATTAATATTAATAACATAGCTTTAATAAAATGTGTTTAATTAACCACATTTTCTTTACTAAAACTATGTTATAATAGCATAAATGTTACATTTATTACAGATTATTTTAATACCTTTATACTTGTATTCAATGTTAGATAGTAAGTATAGATATATGTACTACTGGTATTTATCACAACTGATTTTATATGCCATTTTTTCTAAAAGTATCAGTAACTTGCTTAGAAGTGTGCTTTCACTACTGCTACAATTTAAACAATATCAGCACACCTGATAGCGGATAGACGTTTATTGTTCCTTCGCAAACCATGTTGAAGTACTGCTTCAAACTGGGCACAAAGACACACTACTCTGTAGAAAGAAATTAATTGTGATATATAAAAACTATGATAAATGTTTATTGCTTCATATTTTTTTAGATGTTTCATATTACATTAGTAAACAAGGAAGATTTTTTGTACATCATTTTAGAAACCAAGTGTCCTTTAAAATTATCTTCTACAATGAATTGTTTTTAAAGTCAATTTTATCAAAAAACAGGCTGAACACAATTTATACCAATATCTACCCATATGCATAAATAAAAAATATGTAATTAAAGTATCTCTAGAAATAATTAAAGCAAATTAAAAATACTACACCTGCTGTCTGTCTCTGTAGCTAGCTCTCCTCTTCCACCAAATCTTATCTGACACTAAAAAAATTAACACCAAGAAAATGTTACAACTTAAGAGTAACAATAAATCTCACTGACCCTTTGAGTAAACCAGATTAGTACATCTTTAGAAATGCAACATTACAAACATACACGATAGATACAAATAAAGATAATTTTTACTAGAAGACAGCAGCAGATAAGCGTTGGAAAGGAATGTCTCCATCTACAAGTACAAATTTGTTTGAATTTCATTCTAATTCTAAAAATGTATACTTTTGACATATAACTGTAACTAGATGGACAAATAACTAGAATTTTTCAAAACAGATAAGATGTATCAGCAAGTGAGTAGAATGCTGCATGAAGGAGAAAAGAGAATAATGGAATACAGAATGATCTGAAAATGTGCGAGTCAAGAAAATGTATAAAGCTCTTCTCTGGGTTATGTAACAAAGGGCGATTGGTCAAGAACATTAAGTATCTAGAACCTTCATAGCCACTAGGGAACATGGGTCAAGTTAGATCTACCCAACCAGTCCCATGTTGCACCATGATAAACCCATCAAACACCTGAAAAACTTTCCAAGCACACAGAGAAAAACACAAAAACAATGGTGGAAAGCGTCCAAGAACATAGATAAGTCGAAAAGACAATTATCCACAAGATTCCAAAGTCTACAAGGAATAGTACATTGAGTTTACAATATGTTTAATTTAGAGAACTATTCACAGAGTAATAATTAAAACAGAGGCCTCTAATGCTTGAAGCAAAAATCAACTGTAGTCTATTTTCATGGGATAGAATTCTTCATATCAAAAGATATGCCAATCATTGAAGCAAAGGTGCTATGTGGGAAACAGGAAGAATTATGGATAAAAAAAGACAGGCTGCTAAGCAATTCTCTAATACTGTAGACATTCAGGAGAGTAACAAGTCATAAATGATGCAAATACAAAAAATAATAATTTTTTATGTGAAATCGTAGGAGAGTTCCAAAACAGTAAGTCCACTAGGAATGAATGCATGGACTGGACATGTAACACTGTTCGAATTAGATCAACAATAAGATAACAAGGCATGAAATTAACTTCCTTAAGTGCCACCTGGGCACAGTCATCAAAATTGTTAGGTACTAGAAGAGATGTATGGGTGCTGAAGAAAGAACCCACTTCCCACAAAATTGTAAGTGTATATTCATTGCTAAGTTGTTGGTTTTATCAAATAAATGCAAACACTAATTATCATGTCTAACAGCTTTCCTACATCAGACAAATACTACCACATTTGGCTAAAACCTAGAGCTTTGTAGGACAACTTAGACAAAGTAAGATCTATATTTGGATCTATATGGTCAAGAGAATAAATATAAAATTAAGGACACATATGGGTATGTTATGATTTGTTTTAGCTCTAGTCCTAAATCTAATGATTGGATTGCACAAATAAATAAAACCATAAACTGATGGGAAGTTGTGCTTCTACTTAAGCAATGATACTAATAATAATACATTATATAGCTTAGATCAACAACTTTCAAGTCTCAATCTATATTGTTTAGACCTATATCTAGGCCTTCCATCTGGTATTAGGAAATCCGCTTTGTTTTATTGCTACTGATGTTAGTCTAGGTATAGGCACTGTACTGTTTAAAAGTTTATGGGCAAGTAATAATAGTAATATTAATAACAATTATATATATATACACATATACACACACACACATAGTAGTATGCATATATTTTAGAACATTTCAACAGCACTTCACACAATATATTAACTTGTAATTATTGAAAACTGATCTTACAAAGACACTATTTATTCCAGAATTTGTATATAAATAATTTCCAAGTTTCTTTAATGTTAATATTTAACGAGGCCACCTTTGGCATTAATAACAGCTTGTCATCTTTGTGCCATTGTGTCTATTGACATTATAGGACTTGGAATCCTTGTATCTGTTCAACGTTTAATTCACAGTACTTGGTGAACAGCTGAAGTCTTTTAAAGTTTCCTTTAAACTCCAGATGGCGTATAATGTAAAGATTTGACTGTGAATCAGTCAACTCTCTCTCATTTGGCAATTTGAAGGTATCATTACACGATATTAGCTGCACTGGAGAATATTTACTAAAAAACTAAGAACGTGAAAATCTCAAGTGCTTGTCAGTGGTGATTGGTACAGAGACTAAAAGCAGCTATGTGCACTACTTTGTATTTACATTAGACCATATTTAAAAACATCTATTGCACTAATCTTTTGTGGCTATGTGTTGCTTTACTCTAAAAATTAAATCAAATGCCTAGATATTAAATTCATGGATAAAGTGAGGAAATCAATAATTTGTCTATTTTAATGCTTTTTCAAAAAATATTTTACTTCATATTCACAACAAGTCAAAACTACAAGAGCAATGGGGTGTTTTAATTTGCACACTTCTTACACTTACACACATACAGCTTATTTATACAAATAAACATGATATAAATAGTTTCAATCTATACAGCCTCCCACATTATTTTAATAACTAGAACTAACAAAGGTAGGCTATATTTAGCATGGCACTGGTTTGTAATTGCATTAATTTTTTATCTATATGCTCAGCACAGATTCAAACCTCGGTCAGACAATGATTTGCTTGACAAATTAAAAGAAATCAGTCAAATGATCTAAAGTTAACATACAATATAAGCAAAAGAAACTAAAACTGTAATGGTTTCAGGCCACAAAAATCATAAATTTGAAACCTTGACTTATATTCAAATTATACTTCCCTTTATAATGGCTGGAAATGGCAATTTTATTTTATCTAGTGTGAGACAATCACCATATTATTTTATATAGCAATCGGGCATATACTTTTAAATTTTTATATGTCCAACATGATTTTTTAGGAGTATTTGACACTGAACAGAGATTAATTTTATGCTCTGGATAGTGACAAAGATGGAAAAATGATGGAAGATAGCATCTTATCCCCTTTCTGGCCTATCCATGTCTTGATAAGAAATAAAGAAATAGCAGAGTTATATCCCTAATAAACAATATACTTGATACATCAATAGCATACATGTAAATAGTTTAATATATCACCCCAAAGCAAGAAGAATCAAATAATACTTTATACATAACTTAAACATATGAAAAAAAGCTAGGGTTCAGGAATAGGCAATGTAATGAAATGCCCAAGAGAACAAGATCATTAGAGTGAAAAGGAGAAAAGACTAAGAAATAAGAGGGGGATCACAGATGTAGAATAAGAAAGGGGGAAATACAGATTAGTCATGTAGTGATAGTTCTAGGAATTGAATTATTTGTCTTAAAAACAACAAAGGTCAGTCATAGTGAGGAAGCTACAGATTTTCTAATTAATAAATGAATATGATGTGAATACCAAGTTCCAACAGACCAATTTCGGGACTTAGTAATAAAGTAAAATGTACGTAAACATTCTAAAAGTGAGTAGGCTTATCAGAAAAGGTAAAATTAATGTCCATTTGAGTATTTTCATCACACTGACCAGGAAACAAGAAAGAGGGAAGTCTTCAATTAATGGTGGATAAATACATACTCAGTTAATAAAAATTTGTAGTTATGAAATATAACAAAACATTAAATACAGTATATGTATTTATACTGACAGTCTCATTTCCAACAATCATACCTTAGTGTTCTATTTAGCTACCAAATCTGAGAACTATGTAAAACATAACGCATCAAGATACAGTTTCCAGAATTTTTCCTAACGTGCAAACTTCCTTTTCTCTGCATTTTTTCATTATGTCTTTTTTTTCATAAAATACTTATGATTCTCAAAATCTATTTTGAAAACCATATGATTAGGACATAAATTAGGTTTAGTTGATAAATAAAACAGCCTACATTATCTATAAACTCAAGGATTTTAGTTACTTTCCTTATCAACTTTTGTTTTTTCTTATCCGATATTGGAATGAAATTAAATGGTGCATTAAATTTTACTGAACTTGTAAGTTTATATGTACACAAGTACTAAATCAATTTCACCTCAACACAACATTATTTATTTTCTACCTGCCCAGCTCACCTGCATTTGCCCTAACAATGGTGTAAATCAACAGAAAAGATTTTTAAGATAGATCTGTGATTCACTTGAATTTCAAAAGAACAAAAACAGTTGAGAATTAGCTGTCTGTATTTTATCACACTTTTGTGAAGAAATATCTGGATAAAGTAAAATGTTTTAAACACACAAAAAGGCTTAATACTACCCCACTTTTAATCAAACCTCAAGGACATAAAGAGAAACACAGTACTCATATTAAGAATACAACACTAACCTGTTTAACGGCATCTAAAAGATGTGAGACCAGAGTCTGGCGTTCTAAGAGGTAAGAGTCTTCACCTACAAAAAAATAATGTTGAACATCTTCTATCTAATCACAAAATAAATTACTTAGCGATAGGAGAAAAAAGTTACATTTAAAAAAAATGAAGTTTAAAAATGATCTGCAGCTTTTTTTAACTGCACTGTCAACATTTTTAATATACAGAATGGTTAAATTACAATTTAAGGTGAAAATGTCCCCTTCCCCTCTTTTATGGTGTTCATATCCTTTAAATACAGCTATTACTGCTTATATTAAATTTTCTGTTGCAATGACACAATAAAGCCCAAATAAAATTTACAATACTGTATTATGTCACACATTCCACCACCAGAGGACTTTTCTGAAAATAAATAAATGTCCCAATCAAATCATGCACACTGGTCCAAAAGTTACAAACTAAAATAATAATAATGACAAATTAGTGCAAGATTTATTCACTAAATTTGGACTACAACTTATGAGAAAAGTAACACAAGTTTAATGTTTAATGAGTGTCCATGGAGAGAAGCAAGGACCTCCAAAAATGAATACAACAAGTTAGGGATATTCAATGGTGGTGGGTTGTCTCCCCTGATGACTGTACACAACTTACAACATTTTTATATACAGTTTACAAGCTGATCTACAAGATCAGAAGGTAAAAAGGAGTCCACTGATATATCAGAGCACTTTTCCTATCTATGAGGGAGTTGGAGGGAGGTAACACATCCTCCTAGAGCATCCTAAACATACTTGAAGATATGGGATGATAACATTTGCTCTGTTTGGATGAGCATTATTGACACTTACGAACGTTCAAAACATTTATATAAACTTCTTTGATATTCTTTGTAGCTACAGAGGCGTTGTTTCCCTTCTTGTATTCAAACAACATTACATACTGAATACGCGTCTCATCGTGTGCCATCATTATAAGGGATTAAAGTATACTAAACTTTACACATTACATAGGCTACACAAACGTGACGCTTAAATGGTTCGTTTAACTATTATATGTGATGTATGTTTTGGGGGGCTGGTTAATGAAAGTGTTCCAAAACACGACATTAATTTCTGGATGCCCTAATATTATGAAATAATGTTTTAAAAAAATTCAATGTGCATAAACACACTAATTTCTAATTTATACACTGCACATCATATATTCAGATGATCATGATCTGATTCCATCCAGAATATATATTAAGTATCACTCCATGTCAAACAGTAAAGGGATCTAAGCTTAATCTCAGTTTTTTTTTGTACATTTACTCTATTATTCAGTTTAAATGGGTAGTTTTCTCATTCAAGGGATAAACAGGTGCTATTAATGCTTACATACTAATATTGTCAGACTTAAGTAAATAATTTTTATGTTATTGTTAAAAAAACAAGTGTCTGTCTATTAGGCTCTGTATAAAACCCCTAACCAAATCTATTGAGCAATATATTAAGCTAAATTCAATTCTTACCTTCATCGATCATGATTTCTGACAATCAACCAGATGGACAACAATACCAGATCAGTTGCCCATTGATCTATACATTCATTATAATCGTATATATTTACAAGTATTAGTCCACAAGTTATCTGTACAGGCTATGTGACACTACTTTTGAAATCTTGTCACAAATCCAAGGTTCTAGTAGTCTGACTTGTCCAAGGTGTTGTTCACTTCATTCTGTAAATCATTATATACAAATAAATGAACTAAGAACATAATTAATATTTTGTGCATTCATTACTGAAAACATAAGAGCTAAAAAATGATAGAAAACTATTTTGCTCACTTACTACATATTGTACCAACCTGCACTCTTAAGAAAGATAAAAATGAAAACCTTATATTCAGTAAGGAAGCAAATATCGAAATATTGAAAAAGATCTACTGTAATTTCAACAGTGATAGTTATGTTCAGTGATTTCTATAATAAAAAAAATTACACACAAAGTATGTTTCAGATTATACTGAACAAAATACTATTTTGATAATACATTTATATGAGAATAATATACATGAAAAATTTCTGAACAGAGCAAACTCAGTACTTGATATTATGATACAAGCAACATTATCATTAATTGTACAGTTAATAACTAAAAAAATTAAACTTTCTGTAATTAACCCAGCCATAGTGAAAGGGTTAAATATAATGTTGATGAAAGGGGAGGATGAGCACAAATAAATTCAAGTTAAATACTTAAAAATCCTTACACGATTCACTTAATCCTAGAAATATAAAGGCTCTATCAACTTTTTTATGACGTTTTTATACTTACATTCAAAATTTACACAACTTTATTATCATTGTATGTCACTAAAACTGGCAACAAAACATATTTCATAATGCAACTTTTAATATTATCTACATTTTAATTTCAAAGGGAAATATTAAAATAAATTCTCAATTTTCATTCTTCTATCACATGACATAGCTGCCCTATGATCTCTCCTATTTAGGTTTTATATTATCAATAACACAGCTTCTATAGTGCTTATCCAAATAGAAACCAAAATTACAAGGATGAATATAAAACTTTAACCTCTTAACTTTTGATCTGCCGAGATATCAATAAGTTTGTCAAACACATCAGAGAAACACCTCCCATTTTTTCATGCATTTCAAATCAATTATTCACTCATGCCTACTTGTCTAATAGATATATTTATAACCAATAAAAATGTAATAGTAATCGACTCATTTTTAAGAAAACGTAGTTTAATGATAAAAAAAAACACGAACATAATAACAGGAAGCATTTATTAAATTATTATGATGATTCCAAAACATTTAATTTCTGTTATTACATTCGTGTTTTGTTTTTCCATTTAAAATGTCATATTGTAATGTACAGGAA